GTTAAGAATTAGTTAAGAATTTATTGAATGGAAACAAACTTCTAGAAGAAGATGGTCCTGAGCCACATAGGGCTTTGAAGATAACAACCAACATCTTGAACTTCATTCAGTAACTAACTGGCAACCAATGCAACTCTCTCACAATAGGCATGTTAATTGGGAGGCACTTGTTTAAACTATTGCATTATGGATTAGCTGTAGCTTCCAAATGGTCCTCAAGGACAGCCCCAGGTAAAGCAAACTGCATGAATCTGAGAGTGATTCAAAGAGGGGTTCAGATAAGCAGGGTCTCCTGGTTCCGAAACAGTTGCAAGTGGTGCACAAGATAGAGTTGTACAAAGCCCCACCACTACATTCTTTAGAGGCTTAGCTAATTACCAATCTCATTAATTGTGAGACAAGTGAAGAAATTGTACACAAAATGACATGCTTTCCCATGGTTTCTCTGGTAGGAACCCAAGCCATTATTTTTTTGCATATTATATGAACTAAGTTACTTCATGAAATACCATAGGGCTCATTTGTTAGGGCAATATTGTGGGGGGAGGGGTTTAGCAAGCCGAAAATGTAGCATGATGTTTAGACATAGCCTATTAACTTTGCATTATCCAAGCACAGACTCATGTACATGAAGTACATGCATGACATTCTTCAAGGCAGGAGTAATATTAACATACATTTCCCAAAGAATGTACAACCACCAGATACTTTTTTCTTTAGCTGTTTGTTTAATCCAGAACTCAACATGACTCCTTTAACAGATTCTGCAAAATAGAAGGTGCTTCCACATATTAACTAGCCAGCCTTTGATAGCCGGTGGATGCTAGCTATAAAGCCCACTAAGCCTTTGAAGGGAATAAAAGAAACAAAACAAGTATTTTGCTTTCACTTCTCATGAAAAAAATATTATCCAAATGTCAGGGGTTTTATGCACATGCTATTTACTTTTGATGATGGCAGCAGCTAATTAAAGCTGCTTGAAAGGCCTGCTCCATAGATGGCCATGTCTTCTGAGCTTGACTTGAATGTTTCTTTAAACAGATACATATAGCAAAACTGCAAACCTCCCTTCCCACAAGAAATGTGACCTAGTAAAAGACTGTCCCCTAGAGTTTTTACCCACTTAGGGAAATGGGGAATCGGGAAAAGGGACATTATGCAAACATTTGATACAATATCCAAGCCGTGTTGCATTTGCTGTTTATGGGTGTCCATTAACACTACTTTCTACCTTCTTTTTTCCCAGAAGGATGCCCAAGGCTGGAAAATTAGCTCTAAGCATCCTCCAATACTTTCTCATTGCTCATCTAGACATTCTTGCAGCACTGAAGATGCTCAGCTCAATTTTCCTCCTGCAATAGAAATGCTTCAGGCAGGAAGTGAACTATAAACTGGAATCCCAGAATCAAATACAATCATCATTACCCAGATGGTAATTATGTACATCAGAGTAGCCAACCATCTATTAAGAAAAAAACTTTACAATTGTCCAAATTTCAATTCACTGCACCTATACAAACAGTACCCCCCAAAGCGGCAATTAGATGGACACCCCTCCCCCCAATGTCGAATGAGCAAGAGGATGGCTTCAAGATACATGATGAAGAACATTCATGGAAGACTTAAAGACTCTAAACATCACATGGGAAGACAATGAAGTATTCACTCCAAACCGAAAATGCTGGAGATCCCTTGCTGCCCAATATGCTACATAGAATGGGAGGATCTAATGCTAATGCTAAATACAAACAGCCAGAACGAAATGACACATAGAAAAAAAAATATCTGCTGTGAACTCTTTATGGTGTCAGGAAAAGCATCTGGCTAGTAAACACTCAGCTCCATCCAGTTGTCCAGATTCTACCCCAAATTGAGAGATTATAGGGTTGTAAAAAGGGAGTTTAAAAAGGGATAGCAAGGAAGTGGGTACAAAAATTCCACAGAAGTGTAGAACCTAAATGAAATTCAATATATGTGTATCTCTTCCTTCCTTATTTTAATATCTATCTATCTATCTATCTATCTATCTATCTATCTATCTATCTATCTATCTATCTATCTATCTATCTATCTATCTATCTATCTATCTATCTATCTATCTATCTATCTATCTATCTATCTATCTATCTCCAGACTCAACAGGATGACCCTTTCAGTGTTCAGTATTATTCTGACCAGGTATACACATCCAAAAATAATCAAAAGTAATGTGATTACTCTTTCATACTCCTTATTTAGCACTGAACAAATTGACTGAAAAGGACATTACACCAATAGTAAACCAAACCCATCCTTCATTAACCAAGTTAGACCCATACATCCATTTGCCATTTGCCTACACATGCTGTGCTCTCTTTGTCAAAACCAATTGAGCTGAATGAGCACCTTGCATTCCATGGAGAACCTTGCATAACATAGAGCCAAATAATTTGAAAATGTTTATGTGTGTCTGTGGGGGGGGGGGTGGTAATCAAATATAAATACCGGTACTAAGCCAATTATGATGCCAAAATACAGGTCCCATTATAGATTTCCAGGAGCTATAAAGTCAACCAAGACAAGCAACAGATGGTAGATTGTTTATGGATTCAGTGTAACCAACTAGGGAGCCTGGGTCCTTTAGATAGCCCAGTTTAGACGAATTCATTCTGTACTTGCCCACTCCCACATGCACATCCTCCAAACCTTGTAAAACTACTTCAGAACTTCCGTACCACATTCTCCATAGGCATCTTTAATGATCATCCAGTCACATATTAGCACAAGCATTGCCACCTGAGGATGCCATCAGGCATGTTAGCAAACATCAAGTGAGTTTTCATACAGGCCATCCCACTAAAGTCCCACTTATATCACTGAAAAAACCTAAAAGCAAGAAATCACACCTGGCTTTTCTCTCTTGCTTCTGCTAAAGCAACCAACGGAGGAACAGTGTCTGCTTTCACTGCAGAATACAGCACCCTGTCAAAACCTTTGCTCCTCAAACATGCATAAAATCCATTTCTTCTCTTTGTGTGTCAGTAACTTAAGGGAAGAAGAGCAGGGATGGCTTTGCCTTTCCATCTGAGCTACAGCCAGCATTCTCTGCATCAGAAGGCTGTTGCCAGGGAAATGAGATGAATTTTAGAAGGGAAAGCAAGGCTGGGGAGCAGCTCCTTTCAGGTGGAGAGGGAGAGGAGGAGGACTTGGGTGAGTAGAGGGACATTTAGGCTAATATCTGGTCTCTTCGCAAAAGGGAAGCCACACACCACAGATTCACAATTGCCGCAGCAAAAGCCTGGCACATAAGTCAAGGCTGGCTGGCTGACTGCCTTGGGAGGAAATGAATGAACAGTCCTTCCCCCATCTCAGTCTGCTAATGTCAGCCTGGGATTTGCATGGCACAAACAGGTGCCCACCTTCAAATTGGGCACCCATTAGTCAACAGGGCCAACTGCTGTGCATAAAACTGCTCTGCCAGCTTCCCAGCTAAGACTGATGCCCACTCAACTGCTTCCAGAGGGTTAAACACCATCTCCCCCTGGCTGCCAACCCAAGTTTATTCCCACCTCCATGTAAGCGAGGGTTATTTTTAGCCCACTTCAAATATATAGAAACACACACACACACACACACACACACACACACACACACACAGAGAGAGAGAGAGAGAGAGAGAGAGAGAGAGAGAGAGAGAGAGAGAGAGAGAGAGAGAGTCTTCTCTGTTGGTATTCTATAGGGATGCTCAATGCTTCCTCACACCCCCCCTCAGAATGCCATGCCAGAAATAGATCTGCAAAGTTTAATTGTAATCCCCCACCCCCCACCTGCCACTCAAGCTCCAGAGCTAATCTCAGGGATGTAGGTGGAGGGTTTAAATGGCTGGATGCTAAGGAGCTCTGTCTCCACCTGCTAACAAGAGAAGCATCTTTGCCTTCTGTGGATGGGCAAAGCTGGTCCCTGGCATGTTCTATGAGCATCAGTTTAGTGTTATTACAACCAGGCCCCAATCTCTCTCTTGGCCCAAATTAACTTGCTGGCATCCAAACATGCCCCAAGGGGAAAGAGTTACTCATGTTTAGCCTGTGGCTCACACTGGGTCAGGGAAGAGGCAGTGGGCAGAGGAACCAGGCAACCTGCTCATAGAGCAGGCATAAGGGGTGACAAGCAGGTGGGGGGGGGGAGATCAGATAAGCCACTGAGGGGGGGGGGCAGCCCTTCCCTAGCCTAGGGAAAAGCTGCACTCCAGCAAGCTCATCCAATAATCCTTAGAGCCAGAGGGAGGAAATCTCCTGCAGGACACCCACGCCGACCGAAACGGTACCCTTTGCGCTTGTTCCTCTTTCCCACCACCACACACCGCATCCTCTCTCTCTCTCTCTCTCTCTCTCTCTCTCTCTCTCTCTCTCTCTCTCTTTCTTTCTGCCCATTCATTCATTAATCCGGTCCGAGCGCCCGCGCGCGCCCACACACGCGCGCGCGCGCACACACACACACAAACTATTTCTATCTTGCTCTCGCTTTGCCACCTCCGGACTTGGCGCCCTCGACTGGCTCGGTTTCTTCGGACAGCATCGCTCCTGGCAACAGCGGCGCAGAGCAACCTAAACTCTCCCGAAGCCTTCGCTCGCACTTCTTCGGCGGAGGAACCGGGAGAGTCGGGGAAGGGAGATGCCGGAGAGGGAAAAGGCGGCGGCAGCTAAGCCGGTTCCAAGCGCGCTCCTGCGGGAATCGCGAACCCCCCACCCCCAAGTTAGCAAACCGGCTTCTGAATCAGGGAAGGGGGGGGGAGGAAGCTGCTCCCCTTGGGTACCGTACTGTTGCGCGCTGCCGGGGACGGAGGGAAAGCGGGGGTCAATTGGGAGCTTAGCCCAAGAAGGAAGCTTTGAGGGAGGGGGGTAAAGGTCAGCAGAGGAGGGAGCTGCATGCTTGCAAGGACATCACGATTTTTTCCGGGGGGGGGGAGAGGGAACAGCGGTAGGGGAATAGACAAAAAAAGGAAAAGCCGCGGCTGCACTCACCGTAGACGCCTTGTCCGGAGATGCCCTCCAGCAGCACGGTGAGCAGCCACACGACCCCGTAGGCTAAATCCATCTTGGGGGAAGCAGCCACATATCCAGGCGAAAGGGACCCGGAGGGACTGGGAAAGGGAGGGAGGGAAGGAGGGGGGATCCAGGGAAGAATCTGAAACCACGCTCGCTCGCTCGCTCGCCGGCTCGGCCACGGCCCGATCGCCGCCTTCGGAAGAGACGGAAGAGCCACCCCCCACCCCCCAAGCAGCAGTAAGCCGAGTCCGGTTAGAAAACAGAGGCTGCAGCGGCGTCCTTGCGTGGCGCGCTTTGCTGGGCGAGCGCCTCGGCGGCAGCGGGGAGCTCCGAAGCCATAGTGGGAGCACCCCCACCCCCAGCACACGCGCACACAAACACACACGCACACTCACACACAGGTCTGCGGGAGGAATATCTGCTCAGATCCTCCCAGAGCGCCTTTTGCTGCCGGTGATGCCGGTGATGCCGCGGCGGCTGCGGGGCCCGGGCAACTTGCCTTGGCTGGCGGACTGATTGGTCGGTTTGGCTGACAGGGCTGGGCAGGGAAAGCAAGGGAAAGCAAGGGAAGGGAAGCGTGCCCAGAGCGGGGGGCGGCAGCTGCGGGGCTTGCGCGCCGCGGTCACGTTGGACTCTACGTGCTCCGTGCCGGCCCTGCCAGGCGGCCAAGGCAGCACCGAGCCGGCGACGTCAACTGCGCGCCGCCGCCGCCGCCGCCCCTTCTTCCTTTCGCTTTTCCTCCCCCCCCCCTCCAACGGAGCGCAATGGAATGGGAGGCGCCGCGCCTCCCTCGCTCTCCCCCGGGTCCCTCTCAGCTGCCCGCTTTAGGCGAGCTCTCCGGCAGGTACCAACTTTGGGGAAGCACTGAGCTCTTCGTCCGGAGGTCGGGGCGGGTCTTCGGGTCAAGTCTCCTCCCCCCCCCCCCCCCAGCCTCGCCTTTGAGTTCCCCTCTGGGTTTGCCCGTTTCTTCTTTCGGACTCGCCAAAGAGTGCGGGAGGATTCGTGGGAACAAGCGAAAAGAATCCAGCGATGCGCGGTGACGCTCATCCCTAGAAGGAGGCAGCCGCCCGAGTTGCGTTTTCCCCTTTGGGAGAGCTTTCTGACACTGTCAGCTTTTAGGCTTCACCGCATCCTTAATCAGTAGACCAAGGCTTACTCAGAACTGTTCGCTTTCCTCTTCCTCTTCTGCTTCCTTTTGCGAAGTAAAAGGGTTGCTCTGGACTTTGAAAGACATACAGTTGTTTGGTAGAGATAGGACCCTGATTTCTTTCTGAGCTCCTTAGAAAGGGATCACCAGATTAATGAATCCCTACCACCTCCTTCCTCTGATCTCCTTTTGAACACTAGCCATCCATTTGGACAGTTCTCTTCTGATACTGACATTTGGATCCTTAGTATATCTGCTCCCAATGCAGTGTGATTTTATTCCCCCCCCACACACACATTTTATCTCCAAGCAGCTGCTGCTAAATGAGAAATGGATCCCAGCTTTCAGGTTACACAGCACTCCTTATCATCTGGAGCTCTGACTGCTTTTACCTCAATAAATAACCATGTTTGACTTAGAAATACACCGCATAATTTATTATACCATCTTAGGAGAGACAGCTAAGAAGTTTGATATGTTATTAATGACATGTGAATGACCAACACACAAACATTCAGGCAGTCCAATTCCTAAGCAGTGTATTTTTCTTCCTCTTAAAAAAGAAAACAGGGGAGCTAAAATATGTGGTAGACACCATACTGAAACCTTTCCCAATTTGGGTCCCTCCAGATGCATTAGAGTACAGTACCAGTCATTTCAATATGCATACTGTTGGGAGGTGAACAGTAATCCCTCATATACGGAGAGCACCAGGTTGGGGAAGTCTGGCTGATACCAGCAGGAGGTTCTCACCTTGAAACTCATCTATATGGAAAACATGATGAGACTCTCAATCTTCCAAGGAGCTTTCAATGCGTTGCCCAACTGTAGTAGTTGGCAGGATAGCTCTCATATCTTTGTGTTCCATGATAAGCTAATTCGTTCAGATTGAACAACACTCTTTGCTACCAAGCAAGATATCCCTGCCTCCTCCTCCTCCTCTTCTGCCTCCATTCAGAAACCTGGAAGTTGGCTTAGACAATTCTTGTCTTTCAAGCTCACTGGTTATGTAGGTTCTTCTTAAAGCTTTGCTGAAAACCATCACCAAGTTAAGTACCCTCAGTGGACCATTTTGGGTGGATGGGTACTGATTTTTGAGTTGCATAGAATTCTCTGGATGGGTTCACACACTGCAGGAAGCCGCAATAGAGTCTGATTAGAAGATACATGAACCCAGCCCGTGTCATGTATAAATCATGGGTGCACGGCAAAGTGGACAATGTAAAACCCATGTCTGCCAGCATCCAGCTGTGGTATACAAATTGGGAGCAAAACAATTTATTTGGAGGCAGAGGTTTGAGAGTGTTTGCATAAATCTTTAACAAATAGACAACATACAAAAGGGAACATTAAGATTATTCTAGGGAAAATATACCAAGTTGTAATATATTATTATTGTTGTATGGTTAATCTACAATTAGATTCACAAAGACTGGTTAAAACTTAATTCAAATCATAACCAAGTACTTAAGAATTATGAGTGGAGTGGGGTGGGGTGGGGTGGGATGGGATGGGATGGGATGGGATGGGATGGGATGGGATGGGATGGGATAGGATAGGATAGGATAGGATAGGATAGGATAGGATAGGATAGGAGTTGGAAGAGACCTTGGAGGTCTTCTAATCCAATTCCCTGCTTGAGCAGGAGACCTATACCATTTCAGATAAATGGTTGTCTAGACTCATTTTGAAATCCTCCAGTGATGGAGCACCCACAACTTCTGAAGACAAGCTGATTGCTCTTATGATTAGTAAGCTTCTCCTTAGTTCTAGGTTGCTTCTCTCCTTGGTGAGTTTCCAACCATTTGAGGATATAGGCAACTCTAAGCACTGTTTTGGAAAATTAGGGTGTTCAGATCAGATGAATTCAAAATGTCCAAATATTGAGTGAGTTCTTTAGGTAGTCATCCAGGGGCTCTAATCATAATAGGTTATTCTTATTATGATTAGACGCACAATCAGCCAGCTGTTTATATTGATTTGGCATTTTGTCCATCTATTGAATCCTTCCCAAGGACCTGGGATAGGAAGATATTGTTGTTTGATGGTGTTAAAGGTATTGTTGCAGGATGTAAGCTGTTCAAAGTAAAGCAATTTAGACAATGTCAGGGATGTTCAAATGGTGCTCCAGATGTTTTGGAACTGTCAGGCAGAAAGATGTCCAAATATTGATAGTAATTGTCTTCATTCAGACTCTTTATGTTATTTCCATAGTTTCCTTCAGTTTTCACTATTTTTCTGATGATGATGATGGTGATGATGATGATAATGATCCCCAAAAGAAAGCTTAGACAGAAGGAGAAAAACACCCACACACCCTCATATGTCTCCATTCTTATTAAATTTAATTCTTCCTGTTTTAAAGGTAAATTAACAGGACACTTCCTCACGTGGCATTCAAACTATTCCAGGAATAACTTCTGATCCTTAAGGTCTCATAATGTCATCTCTGTTCAACAGCTGAGTTTATACATGGAACCCTTGCAAAGCTTATTTGTTCTGAGGTCTTACAGCTTTGTGGAGCTTATAGAGGACTGTTTGCCACTTGGCAGAAAAATTGCCACCTTCATTCTCCTGGTTCCTAGGCTTCAGACCACAAAAATGATCTTCAAAAGGGAAATAATAATGTTTGTCAGATGGATAATTTCCATCCACCTCCTCAGGAACTACTGGGATTGTTTTCCAGAGGGTTAGATGAATGTAATGTGAACTAAAGATAAATAAGGACAGATGCAAATACTTTATTTTCCTTTAAAGTATGAAATGGTGATGAGGTAGTTGTTATCTTGTTTTGTTTTTGTTTTCTGTGAGTGAGAGTTGTTGCATAGCTTGTGACAGCTCATAATTTGTAGATTGAATATACCCAATTAAGAGACAGCAAACTGCCAGGCAAATGGACCTTGTCTAAGAGATGGCAAAAAGAGGTTGGGAGAACATCTTTTGCCGGAGTAATTTCCGCAACCACCATGAGATTAGAGACCACCAGTTTATAATTTGTACATGCTATAGTCAGCGTTAGAGGTAGTTTAGTCCATTATTTAAGGGGCTGGACTAGGTGCAGGAAAAGCCAAGTTCTAGTTCTGTTTTAGGCATGGAAGCTAGCTGGGTGACTTTGGGCCAGTTGCTGTCTCACACACTTAGGAAGAAGGTAAGGTCAAACCCCTTCTGAAAAAGTTGCCAAGAAGACTACATCATGCTTGTCTATTTCGTTTCCAGAAGGAAACGCTGAATTGAAGACCCAAGATAAATAAATAACATCAAGATATTCTGTGATGCTCATTAACATCCGGTAGAAACCACAATAACATTGGGTCCAACTGATCTTACTGAGTGCATGGGACACATAATACAGTTTGTGTCAGTTGTATTAGCCGATTATGTACTTCCTATCATGTACGTGTTGATGATATCATGATGCACGTGACATCATAATAGGTCATACAACATACATCATAATCATCTGTAGAGTTTTATGTAAAAAGAATGCCCAGAGTGTCTTGTCCCATTAGGTTTGGTAAAATTTATCTTCTGGTAAATGTCAATATACTATAGCACTAAAGTCTAACTCTCAAACATTTTTTTTCTCCATGTTTAATTCTATATTTTAGGAGGACTTAATCGTGCACGTTTCAATCCCAACAGCATCAGCAGTTTGTGTTCTTTTAAATACCCATTTAATGGCATCTTTTTTTCCTGGGAACATTTCCAAGTGACCGCACTGTAGACACCACTAGCCCTCTTTCAGCACCTGCCTTCCACAACCCTGCTGGCTTCCCATATGGAAGTGCAAGGAATCAAATCTAATAAGTTAATACTGTAGCAAGAAAGTTACAGTGGGAATCTTGTTTTTCCTCCCCAATCTCAAGAAACTTCGCCCCACCCCCAGTTGACTGGGTGAATCA